GTGACCTGCAAATGTTTCGGCGGATGTGCGCGGCGCTGAGGCGAGAGCCAAATTTTGAAAACGACCCACCCTCAATCCGTGAAGCTCCTTGCAAATGTTTGAAACGAATGTGCGCGGCGCTCAGGCGAGAACCGCATTTTGAAAACGACCCGCCCTCAATCCGTGAAGCTCTTGCAAATGTTTGAAGCGAATGTGCGCGGCGCTAAGGCGACAGTTACATTTTGAAAACAACCCGCCCTCAATCCGTGAAGCTCTTGCCTTTTTTACAAAGGAATGTGCGGCGCGCTAAGGCGAAAACCACATTTTGAAAACGACCCGCCCCCACCCGTGAAACTCTTGCAGTTTTTGAAAACGAATGACGCTGAGGCGAGAACCACATTTTGAAAACGACCCGCCCTCAATACGTGAAACTCCTTGCAAATGTTTCAAACGAATGTGCGGGGCGCTGAGGCGAGAGCCACATTTTGAAAACAACCCGCCCTCAATCCGTGAAGCTCCTTGCACATATTGAAAAAAAAATGTGCGCGGCGCTAAGGCGAGAGCCACATTTTGAAAACGACCCGCCATCCATCTGTGAAGCCGTTTTTAAATTTCATAGTCGTAAGTGGTGAGGAAGTCTCAGGCGAAACGCCCGACCCGCCCTAAAAACTGGCTTCGGGGTCCGACAGGGAGAAAATATTTATAAGGAGAAGGAATGGAGGAGGAGGACGACGACGCGCAACATAATGAAATGAGGGGGAGGCTGAGTACATGTAGAGTTGAAGGGGGAGGAGGAGGAGGAGGAGGAGGAGGAGGAGGAGGAGGAGGAGGAGGAGGAGGAGGAGGAGGACGAGGAATCATGAGTTGGATGCCGGGGTGTTCTAAGCCGCTCGAGGCAACAAATTCTGCTGCCCCAGCGCCTTACTTAGCTTTGGGGGCATGAGAACAGATATGGCTGCTGATGTTCCCTCCCCTTCCACTTCCCTTTTCCGCCGCAGCCGGACTTGACTCAACAGCGCCTTTGGTCCCAGCCCCGGCTGCGGCGACATAAGGGGCAGGGCGATGACGACGACGACGACGAGGAAGTTGAGGGCGAGGACGAGGACGACGGGACCAAGCAGACTTACCAGACGTCCAGTCAGACCAGCCAGGTTGACCAAGCAGGCCAGCTGGGCAGGTTAACCAGACCAACCAGGCCAGCCAGCCGGTCGCGGCGGGCGAGCTCATCGCGCTGGCAGGTGGCAGCACCCTGGCCAAGGGTCTCGCAGCCCACCGAGACAGCGGGCATAGAGCCCCGCCCCACATCGATCGCGATGCCCGTGCCCTCGACCGCGCCGGCGCCTTCCTTCGACATCCAGGCCTTGCTGAAGATGTCGTTCAGCGTGTTCGGCGGTGGCTCGATGGCAAGCTGGCGGAGCGCTGGGACGCGCAGAGCACCGAGGCTGGCGAGGTGCAGGCGCGCTCGGCTGGCGCATCGGATTCGGTGGGCTCGCAGGGGCAGAAGATCCCCGAGCTGTTCGAGTTGTTCCATGGCGGCTCGGATGGCGCCGTTTCCGAGGCGTCGGACTGGCAGCAGACGGAACTGTGCTTCCAGCTCACGGCTGAGTGGAAGGAGGCGCAGGCGTTGGCGGACTCGCTGGCGCAGGAGGTCATGGACCTCAAGTCCCTGGCATGGGAGCTCAAGCGCGTCGCGGTCGGCGCCGTCGACGCCGCGGCGAGGGGCATTTGCAAGCATGCGGAGCCTCCCGAGTTCAGGAAGCAGTCCTATCCCGAAGAGGTTGACGCCGACGTCCAGAAGGGCGACGTTGCCGACGAGGCGGTCGCCATGGACGCGCTGGCGGCTGAGGCCTCGGAGGACGAGGGCGAGTTCGAGGCCGAGGGCGACGACGCGCGCAACGAGCTGGCGATCGTGGACCCGCAGGCCTTCGTGGAGGTTACGTGCTCCGTCGACTCCGTGGGCCTCGTCGCCGCCGGGCCGTCTTTGGAGGGGCGCGGCAACGGCCTCTCTCTTGGGCCCTGGGCCTCGGGCTCCGTGCCAGGGCCCGCCGTGCGCGCGCCTGGGGGAGGGCGCGCGTGCAACTCCGACGGCGAGGGCCTCCCTGGAGGCCTGGTCCTGCCAGATGGGGCCGCGGAGGCCCGCTCCTCCCTGGAGGCGGCGCCGGCGGCGCGGAGCTGGGGGGCCACGCAGACTGTCATCCTCGCGGCTCATTTGCGGTCCGCCGCCGCGCTCGAGCGCCGCCTGGCCGAGTGGAGGCTGGAGCGCGACGAACTCGAGGTGCCGCAGGCGGTCGCCGCCGGGCCCCTGGCCGCGAAGCAGGCGGCCAGGAACAAGCTGAAGGCCAAGACGGTCTCGTTCGGCACCGTGGCAGGGGCGCTCAAGGCCGAGACTGTCTCGCGTGGCGCAGTGGCAGGGGCGCCCGAGGCCGGCGCCAGGGCCAGCAGCGCTCCTGGCGCGCCCCCGCAGGTGGCCAGGGCCGAGGCGGCCGCGCCTGGGACCCTCGACCTGGTCCAGGCGAAGCTTGCGCTCGAGGATGCGCTGGCCTCCAGGTGCTCTGGCCGCGCTGGCCGCTGCAGCGCCGCTGAGGGGCAGGCGCGCGCCGAGCAGGTGGCCGCCCTCGGCCGCTTCCTCGGGGCCGCGGCCGCTGCAGGGCATGGTGGTGAGATGGCTGTGCCACTTGCTCGGGCCGCGGAGCGGGTGCTGGGCCTGGGGGCGGTGGGCCTGGAGTTGCCTGCGCTGCTCGCGTGCGCCGAATCTTGCCGCGATGCGAGTGTTTGGAATGCCTCTGAGTGATGGTTTGCCTCGCACTCTGTATTTCGTGATGCCTTTCCCAGGTGTGTCTCTTCGGCCTCCGTGAGACCCTGGAAGACCCTGAGCTCGCGCTCGAAGGGTGAGTGACGGGCCCCCGACCCCATCGGGCTCTTGGGCCTCTTGGGGCGGCGCTGGGCCCGAGGCGGCCCGCGCCCTTTTCCTGCCTCCTGGGGCTCCGCCCTGCGCGGGGGCGGCCCTTGTAGGCCCTCTGGGTCGGCCCAGAGGTGGCCTCGGGTTTTGGCACCGCAGCGGCGCCCCCTCTAGCCTTTATAGGCCCCGCAGAACCAGAGCCAGATTAGCCCGACCAGCCAGCCAAACTAGCCATTTAGACCAGCCAGACCAGGAGGCAGACCAGCTAGCCGCTCAGACCAGCGAGGCCCAGACCGGACGAAGCAAACCAACCTGCCCAGACCAAGCAGACCAGATAGATTAGCCAGTCAGACTGGCCAGGTAAACCAACGGTCACATGTAAGTCTTTAGCTGAAGTCCCAAGCTTTATAACTACTCTTTTGAAGCTTCGACAGGGGCGCGCCACAGACAGTTCAGGAATGGCTCCAATGCGGCCCCGCAGAGCTCATCATGGCTTTCAATAAGATAGCCCAAGAAGCGCCAGCGATAGAAGGCGCAGCCCTCCAGATACGCAGCGTGGGGTCACAGGCGATCGAACTATATAAATCCACAGTTGCTTTTGAATCTGAAGTGTCTGTGGTCATCATGATGCCCATGCGCGCTGAAGTTATTTGATTCGCCGTGGACGCCTGGTAGCAATCGTGACTCAACGCGTGGCCAGTGACCTTGCGTTTATCACGTCGCTCGCATTGGCTTGGTTTACCAACGTAGCGTTTCGCCGTCACGCAAGGGTGCTTGCAGTCTGGATGCTGGCACGGGTCCGTGCGGGCAGTCATGCAGATGGCACAGAGTTCGCGTGGGTCGTGCTAGAGCCAAAAATGACTGCGGTCGTTGTTGCCGTTTCTACCAGCATTTCGGGCGCAGCTGGACTAAAGCGTTTATTACTTTCCCCCCTCCCTCTCTTCCAAAGAAGAAGTCAAGTTAGAATAACGCATTGCGCCGGGCCAGCCAGACCGGCCAGACCACCAAAAAAAGAGAAAAATGCTCTTAGGGCGGGGGGAGTTTAGCACGCGGTAGTCGTCGTGCCAGTCCTCGTTTTCGTGGGTTTTCTCGTCTGTCTCGTCGCAGCCGTGATCGTGCTCGTTGTGTTCTTCCGTGGTCTGCCTTCTGTCTGCCTTCTGTTCTTTGTCTTCTCTCCCCCTCGCAGCTCTGTTGTCCATTCGGCTTGCAGAGGGGGCGCGCATCAAGAAACCATCTACTTTTTCGTCAGGGCGCCTTGGGTTTCTTCGCTCCGCGCGATGCGCGGTGACTTCCCGCGGCCGTTGAAGGAGCTGCTGCGTTCGGGGTGCTCCGGGCCCCCCCTCAGTTGCACCTCGCGCGCGGGTTTTCAGGGCTGTGTTTCTTGCGAGGATTTCTTGCGGCCGCGCCCGCGCTGTGTATTCCATCGGCTTCCCGTTCGATGCGGGCCAAACCAGCCAGGCACAGGCCATGCCAGACAGAGCCACCTGACCAGCCACACCAGATGCACAAACCGTGCAGCACACAAAAACATGCAGAGCAAACGAAACTGCAAATCAGAAGCTAAAGCTCCTGCGCTAAGCTCAAGCCAGACCGACCAGGCCAGCCAGATCAGATGCAATAGAAATTGCAATGCAATAAGCAGCAACGCAAAAATACTTGCAATGCGAAAACACATTGTATTTCGGTGGTCGTAGTAGTTGGCGCTGCCTTCCTGGGCCTCCCCTAATCCAGCGTCGCCCGAATCTGGCTCCAGGACTAAGTTCAAACTAGACCCTCGCGATAAGCCAGACCAGATGCAACAGGAGCTGCAATGCAACAACAACATGAACTGCAACGCAAGCATAATTGCAAGGCAAAAGCAACTGCTGTTCGGTGGTCGTAGTGGTTGGCGCTGCCTCCCTGGACCCCCCCTAAACCACGGTCGCCCGAATCCGAAGCTAACGCTTCAGGACTAGGCCTAAACCGGACCGACCAGACCAGCCAGACCAGATGCAACGCAAATCTGCAATGCAACAAAAACATGCAGAGCAAATCCAGCTGAATTTCTGTTGTCGTAGTTGTTGGCGCTGCTTCCCTGGACCTCCCCTAAACCACGGTCGCCCAACTTCGAAACTATGGCTTCAGGACTAGGCCCGAACCAGACCAACCATGCAAGCAAGACCAGATGCAACGCGCGCGGAGCGGCCGCCTGGAGTGTGGCATGAGGTCTGCTCGCGCGAGTGGGGCAGCGCGCCAGCCGGCGGCGATGCGAAGGAGCCCTCGGCGCTCTCCGAGGTCCGCGTCGAGCCGCGCGCCCTTCCGCTGGCCGAGGTGCTGGCGCCTTGTGCGTGGCGGGACTTCGACCTCGTCGCGGCGTCCGCGGGTCAGGCCTTCGCGCAGGGGGTTGCGGCGGGCCGGCGGCTCGCTGTGCTGGAAGCTGAGGCCGAGGGCGAGCGCCAGCGGGCCGACCCCTACGACCTGTTGTTGGACGCGCTGGGCATCGAGAGCTACGACGGCGAGAGCGAGCGCGGCGGCGACGGGGGCGACGGCGGCGCCTTCGTGGACCATGCCGCGCCCGCGGCTGGCGAGTCCTCGCCGCTGCTGTTGTCCGCCAGTCGCCGTCTGGGCGAGGCCGTCAGCCACGACGACAGCGACGACGACAGCGTAGGCGGCCAGGGGCAGGAGCGTGCCGGCGGCGATGCTGCTACTGCCTGCTCCGCCACCGCTGCGTCGGCGCTCAGTGGAGTGATCGCGAACTACCTCGGCGAGAACGGAGCCGCGCTCCTCCGTGGAGACGGAGACGGTGGTCGAGCTGCCGCGGGATTCGCTGAGCTGGCCGTGCCGACCGAGGACGCCGAGGGCGAAGTGCGGCGACGGCTCGCCGAATGGTCGAAGGGAGCTTACATTTGCTCCCTGCAGGAGCAGCTGCGGGCTGCTAAGAAGGAAGCGCAGCTCCAGCGCTGGAAGGCAGGTTGGCTGGATATTGATTCCGTCGGGGTGAGGTGCAGGGCAGGCCTGCCGTTCGCCCTCAAGGAGTCTGGGGGCCGCCTCGCCTGGCATGAGTGATGCTCCGCAGGCGCTGCTGCTTACGTGTGTTGAATACCTTGCCTTAAGTTTGCTGAGTTGAGGTGGCTCCAGGGCTGGTTGGTGGGAATTCGGGGCTTCGCCCTTTCCCTTGTTTGGGGATGGGCCCCCTGGGGCTCCTGGGCCCTCCTAGGGTGGCGTGGGGCCCGAAGTGGCTCCACGCCCGCTTTTCTGCCTCCTGGGGCTCGCGCGCGCGGCGCGCGTCCTGCGCGGGGTCGGCCCTCGTCGGCCCTCTGGGACAGGCCCAGAGGAGGCCTCGGGCTTTGGCGCCTCAGTGGTGCCCCCTCCAGCCTTTATAGGCCCCGCATAACCAGAACCATATGCAACGCGCAGTCGCGTTGCAAACGCAACTGCAATGCAACATAAACACTGTTGTTCGGTTGTCGTAGTGGTGGGCGTCGCCTCCGTAGACCTCAGGGTGGGTGGAACGGGGAAGAGAGAGAG